ACCCACTTCTATAAATCGAAAAGAGACTGCGACCATAACAGAGGCCACAACATCTTGGTCTTCATATCTTAAGAGGCTTTAGCCTCAAATTAGTCACTCAGACGCAGGGGGTGGGTAATTACGCGTCGAGTAGCACAGATGAGATGGCACGGGTCGAATGAAATACTTGGACCACATTACATTCAAATAAGCAAGGAAAAATTGTGGTAGTGAAGACGTAATACGAGGATATATGAAAGGGGAATAGCTCACGACAGAAGAGGGATAACACAACTGTTAATCAAAGGATCGTCTTCACTTGTCTCTTTCACGAGTTTTAAGGTTATACTTATAATGGCAAGACTCTGACGATGCCGGTGAAATCTCTGGGTATGTACCACATCCACGGTCCGACTCGAAATTGTCATGCATACACTGGACTCCGGACTAGGTGCGTTCCTCTAAGTCTTCCTGCTAATATGACCAAGTTGCGAAAAAAAGGTCAATTTCTATCCATCGAAAGGAGCCTACAACGACACAAAACGCCATCCTATTTTGGTCTTCATATCTTTGATTAATTTATTTATGTTGTAATATTTTTATAATTCTCTAACTCCTGCATATTTGCCTTATTTAAAGTACTTATTATTTCATTACGTTATAATTTATTATTTCCTTTTTCTGATATTTGTTACAGATGATGAAGAAGGCTTGGGATGGTTATGTAAATTTTGCCTGGGGATCTAATGAGTTGCGTCCACAATCAAAAGGGCCGCACAATCCTGATGTCCTCGGTACTATTCCAATGGGGGCCTCTATTATCGATGGCATGGACACACTCTACATAATGGGTATGGATCAGGAATTTGAAGCAGCTACCACTTGGGTGAAGAATGCACTTGCTTTTGATAAGGTGATTTTTAAACTTTATGCCTTACCTAATGCCAGTTTTAGCTACTATTCTTGTATATTTTCTATTCTTTGTAGCAACCTAGCCTTACATTTTTCTAAATTTTCTATTACCTTTGGTGCCTCAATACACATCTTTCTTTGAATTTCTTGACTGACTGCAATGAGCCTCTTGCTTATGCTTTCAACAATTATTATCTAAAAAAGCTACCTAATCGAGAGGGCTTCTGAATACATTTATTTTATATGTTCTGCTTTAAGCCATACTACTTGTAAATTGCAAAAGCCTACCTGCCTTTTTTGATAAAGTTGTGTATTATTAGATGTTGTTTGACCTTGCTTTTGCGACTGTCATATTGGTAAAAATACTTCGAGGAACGCACCTAGTCCGGAGTCCATTGTATGCATGATAATTTCCAGAGTCAAACAGTGGACGTGGTACATTCCCAGACGATTCGCCGGCATCGTGCTTTGCATCGTAGTCGGCATCGTCAGTGAGTCTTGCCATTTTTAACACCACTACAACTCGTCAAAGAGACAAATAAGGCTGATGCCTTGAAAAATTGTCTGCTAAACAATCGTGGTATCTTTACTTGCTCCCTAGGCTAATCACCAATCCTAGATCTAAGTATCACGCCTTCACTATCACACGTTTTTACTTGCATATATAAATGTGCTATGGTGTGCCCTTTTGAACGGCTTTCATGAGAACTCTCAACACTCCAAGCTGGCTATCTCACTCCTCTTCACCCTTGTGCTGGAAATGTTGATCAGAGTTTGCCCTAATGTTAAGCGGCCCTCCTTCCCTAGGTCCTATCACAGTCCTCCTGGTTCATGTATTGCACTTGACCCCTGCTACTCCATCTGTGCTACTCAAGGCGTTATTTCCTACACTGACTCCGGAAGACTAACTCGAGGCTAAATCGCTTGCATAATTCTTATGGTCAAGCCTTTGTTTCATGGACCACGCCTATCGTAAAGCAGGCCTACTTTCAGCCAACTAGCTCTAGTCTGGGCCGCGTCTATCCTGTTTTATCCCTAATTCCAATTTTGTGACTTGCTATGCCCTAGTCTCTTGAGTGCCAACTCACAAATCTTGTGGTATTTCTTGCTTTGATTAAGTTCAATATAGAACCACAACATTTGTGAGTTGGCCAACAATAGACTAGGTCAGTGGTTCCCAAACTTTTCCTATTCGCGGCGCCCTTTTTCAATTAAAATTTTTACATTGCGCCCTACCCTAAGTACGACTATTCGTAAGTAAGTGATAAAAATAAATAAAACTCATGTATCTTCATCATAGTTTTTACTTGATTAACCTTGAATTAATATTTAATAATTAATGTGATGGATGAGCCTGCAAATAATTGCGCATTTTCTCAAATTGTAGCTTTTAAAATATTTCGCGGCACCCCTGTAAAGAGGCCGCGGCGCACAGTTTGGGAATCACTGGACTAGGTCATATGACGTAATAGACTTGGTATTAGGGATAGAAACAGGATAAACGCTTCGGAGACTAAACCTAGTTGGCTGACAGTAGACCTGTTTTACCATAGACGTGGTCCACGAAGCAAGGCTCAACCATGAGAATTACGCAGGGGCTTTAGCTTCAAGTTAGTCTCCCAGACGCAGAATGTGGGACATAACGCCTCGAGTAATACATATGGGGGGGCAGAAGTCGAGTGCAATACTTGAACCAGTGAGTTTTCAGACGGAGACTGATAAGATCTAGTGAAGAAAGATTGGTTAACAATCAGGCAGATTATGATTGACATTCCCAGCACTAGGGTGAAGGGGGGTGAGGAAGACGGCGTGGAGTGTAGAGAGTTCTGATGAAAGCCACTCAAATGGGCACACCATACCACATTTAAATAAGCAAGTAAAAATTGTCTCAGTGTAGGCGTAATACGAGGATATATGATTGGTGATCTGCCTAGGACGGAAGTAGAGAAACCACGATTGTAAGCAGATAATTGGTCAAAGGATCGGCTTCACTTGTTTCTTTGGCGAGTTGTAGTATCGCTAAGACTGCCAAGACTCACTGACGATGCAGACTACGATGCCAGCAAAACGGCTGGAAATGTATAACGTCCACGGTCAGACTCTGGAAATTATCGTGCATACAATGGACACTGGACTTGGTGCGTTCCACTAAGTCTTCCTATCAATATGACCAAGTTGTGAAAACAGGGTCAAACAACGAAAGGAGGCTGCGATCACACAAAAGGCCGCACCATCTTGGTCTTCATACCTTGATTTGCGCATTTTTAGTTTGTAAGTAGGCTTTCGAGGCTACCAGTAAATTAGCTATATGAAATTTGTTCACCCTATTTCGTTTAAGATGAATGAGCACTAGTGTGTGAGTTTTCCCTAATGATATGAGTAGACCTTACGTTTCCATTGAATCTCATATAGCCTTTCTACACAGAAGATACTCTTATCCACATTTGACTGCAGTTCGACCTTGCCTAGATCTTCTCAGCACCCTCAGCGTACTAGAACCATGGCGGTGTATAATTCCAATAGGCTACTCACTACGCCAAATTGCCATGAGTCCCCTTATGCCACAGCATAGATGTTAATTTCGGGGAAGGCTAAGCACGTTCCCATATTACATTTTGTCGTAGGATTGACGGTTAAAAGAGTTATATTTGCTATAGTAATCTATTGTAT